CGTAGTACGTACGGTACGGTAGGTAGGTACGATAAAGTAATTATTATTTACTTACTACGTAAACGTTAAATTAATTTATTAGTATGTAGTAGTATATATATATATATATATATATATATATATATATATTACTTTTTAATGCTATGCATATTTCATTTGAGTATTAAACTCCCACTACTTTTCTTAATTGCAAAATCACATTGTGATCCATATGTTCTTTCATTACGATTTATTACACTGAAATAATAAATTGGAAATTTTTTCCCAGATTAAATTGGAAATGAGGTAACTACCATGGAATATTATCATCATAGATATCCTTTATCAAATACATTGAGAAGTGTAGAAATGAATTCCCTTGTAATGGAATTGTGCTTTGTTATTGGGGCCTACACAAACTTTTTTTTTTATATATTTTTTTTAAAGAGAGAAACTTGTGAGATGATCCATTATTGCCTTTGCAACTACCCACCAAAGTGGTGAGAGAAGACCCATTTCTGCCTTTGCTTCTACCAGTCAAAAGTAAGAGAGAGAGAGAGAGAGAGAAATTGACTTTCATGGAGAAATGAAAAGAGACATTGCATAGAAAGAGATCAAAAGAGGTATTGATGGCTGGCTATGAATGACGGTTCAAGAGATTTCTGCAACTTCTCCACCAGTCAAAAGTGAGAGAGAGAGTTACTTTAATGGAGAAATAGAAAGCGCCATTGCATAGAAAGAGACCAAAAGAGGTATTGCTTGGTGGCTATAAATGAGGGGGACAGGAGATTTGTGCAGAAGTAGTTTCATCTTCATTTTCGGTATTTCAAGGCTAGGCTTTTTCCTTTATCTATTGTAATTTGATAACAGCTTGGCTATGTAAATGGTCAATCCGTGGGCCACATAAGGTTGTTCATGCTAAGAATATATGAACGTATTTACTCATGTACAAATGGGTACCTCATCTTGAGGTATATGAACGTATCTCATAAACAAGGGAAAAGTTTTTAATAGAGCGGAGGCTCTAAACAATTAAATTTGAGCCTACCTCAAAAATTTCACTAAAAGAGGTTGTTTTGATGCCCAAATATTTTCGAATCGATCATCTTGACATCAAGAAGTACGGACATGAGATAAAAAACAGATTTCAAGTTTTAGAAATAGTGTATTTTGTAATGCATTTTTGGATCGTCAACTTTCAAGATTTTCAAGTTTTGATAGATCTATCGGTCTACACTATTTTTTAAGCTTTAAACTTTATAAATAAATATGAAAATATATTTTAAGGCTATCACAAAGATTTCCAATATTGAAACCACATTTCTCGATACTATTTGAAAGTAGGCTCTAATTTGATTGTTTAGAGCAGTGTTTTAAAACACGGCGAGTCGAACCGGACTCGCCCGGTTCGACTCGAAAATACGCGTGCCCGTTCCGGTTCCAACCGAAAATCGGGAACCGCCCGGTCCTAGAGTGGAACCGCCGGTTTCCATCCGGTTCAGCCCGGTTCTAGAGTGGAACCGCCAGTTCTCATCCAGTTCAGCCGATTCTAAAGTGGAACTGCCGGTTCCCATCCGGTTCAGCCCGATTCACACACGTAATACATGACACGCACGTGCAAGCGTGCCCCCACGCACACTCACACGTGCACACGTATGTCCGCACGTACAAGCGTGCCCCACACACACTCACACGTATACACTTGTGTTCGAGCGCACATGCGAGCGTGCCCCCACGTACACTCACACGCGTACACATGTGTCCGAGTGCACGTGCGAGCGTGCCCCCACGTACGCTCACACGCGCACACATGTGTCCAAGCGCACGTGTGAGCATGCATCACGCACACTCACACGTGCATACATGTGTTCGAGCATGCGAGGTTGCCCTAATATTTTTATACACATTTTATAATTCATATTGCATAGGTATTTATATACCAAATTTGAATACCCATCTTTCGATGTGGGATAATTCCCAAACATCATTAAATAAAAACGAAATGTAAATATAGTCTATTAATCAACAATTTATAATCATATGTAGTTAGATGGCTTGATGGTTATGATTTTGAACTTTTTACTTGAGGTCCCAAGGTCGAATCCCCTTCCCCTTGGGCACCCCCTTGGGCATGTGTTGCATTTGAATCCCCTTGGACATGTATTGCATTTTGTTGTGTATATAGTGGTTGGTATAAATATTTTTGTTGTTTTCGAATCCCCTTGGACATGTGTTGTTTTTTTGTTGTATATATAGTGGTTGGTATAAATATAAATATTTTTGTTGTGTATATAGTAGTTGGTATAAATATAAATATTTTTGTAAATAATATAAAAGACATAAGAAAATGAAAAGTAAAAAAATTAATTTTTTATATAACCGTTAATTTTTGTTGTATATAGTGGTATAATTATTTTTGTAAATAATATGAAAGGTATAAAAAAATAAAAATAAAAAGTTTATTCTATTTGAAATCTTCATTTTTCTACTAACAATCTTTTTTACTAAATTTATTATAGAAACCTAAAAAAATAAATTTTTGAAAAATTGAAGTATTATTTCCAAAATTTGTACGCATTTTATTAATTTTTACATTGATAACCAAATCTTTTATTTTATTTATGAATTTTTACATTATAAATCATATAATATACTATTTTTCTTACAGTTGTCAATAATACATTTTAAATTAGACAATATTATAAAATATTTTTAATTTGTTATTATTTTTTTAATAAAATAATTATAAAATGTAAACTAATAATTATAATTTCAGTATATAATATTATAATTAGTGAGGTTGTAATAATTTTGGATTATAGTTAGTTAGGCTGTAATAGTTTGGGTTTTTTTAGCAGGTTAGGGTTTTTCGCCAAAACGAGATTTTAATGGCCATTCTTTCATTGATTTGTCTACTCTTTATAATAGTCCATATATAATTATAAATTTTATCCATGATAATTCTCTGATTTTTGTTTTATGTGATGCAAATTTAATAGTTAAAATAAATTTATACAGGGAAAGAACATCTCAATATTCACAAATTGATAAAAAAAAACGAAAGTTAATAATGTAGTACCCTCAGTTTTTATTGGATTCTTAAAATACAACATTTATAATGAATTTTAATAATTTTTTCGAATTTTTTTGAAGCTTTAATCCGACCGATTCAGCCGATTCCCGATCCGGATCGCCGATTCCCGATCTTGATTGCCGATTTTCGATCCAGATCGCCGATTTGTCGATCCGAATCGGTTTTTTAGGTGCCCAATCTGGGTCACCGATCCGTTTTTTAAACCATTGGTTTAGAGCCTAGGCTCTATACAAACCTCACCCCATAAACAATGGTGTACAACAAGTCTAAAAGCTATACCACAATGCCACTATTTTTTGCCATGATACCAATGATGTAAGAGTCACACAATATGGAAATGGGCTCAAGACTAGGTAGTTAAGGTAGCCGAACCCTATCCCTATCGAACTAACCTAAAAAAAAGAGTTGCACAATGTTGTAACGTTGATATCACCGCATCAAAATCAATTTCCTTTGTTTTTTTTTTTTGGGTAATTCAGTGGAGGGGAAGGCCCTACCCATTTTTCATTAATTAAATGAGAAAAAACAATTATCGTACAATCTTATAATAAAGTAATTGCGCCAGATCCAGAAGTAACAAAGGAGAAAGTAAGTTTGCAGTAGCGCCGGGGCCAGTGGATACTCTCTTAGAGAGGACATCAACAACCATATTTGCCTCCCGAAAAACATGTTCAATGGACCATTGATGAGTAGAGAGCATAGTATGGCAATTATCTGCGATCGACTATAACCTCCATGGAGCACGACACCGATTCTGAATGACATTCACAAGCAAGGCCGAATCACTTTCTGACAAGATTGGAAAGCAATTCCTCTGATGAACCAAC